TCTGGCACTGTGCGTTATGTGCGCGCGGCGTCGTGGAACCGAATACTTCCGCTTGGAAATTGAAATGCTTTCCTCATTTATGGAGCGCAGAACGATACGTAAACAGCAGCCCGGTATACACTTCAACACAGCGCACGAACGACGTTCCACACAAACGCAGGCTTGGCGCTGTGTGGAAATTTTCCTCTTGAGTCACGAATTATGATGCGCCACCACAACCGCGTACAATTCACGTGGCATAATTCCTAGACACTCAGTAATACATTCCAAGAAAATGAATGAAAAGCGTTCTTTTCGTTAATGTAAGTGTATGAATTGAACGAGTGTGTAACTAATTATCCAATAGTTGTGAGACCGGTCAACTACAGCACATGCGTAAAAAGAGTACACTATCAACGCGATAGCGTTAAGAGAATTGTCGCAGAAATTCCGCCGTTGGCATCGGCACCGTTGGCTGTGAGCAAAAAATCGGAATAGAAGCAAATGAAATAAATTATGAAATTTTCGGTCCCATTAAGGATTGCACCCGGGCTGTTCACGTGGCAAGCAGTTATCTTATCACAAAACTACCACCTTACTTGCAGTTGCATAGTGAAAAACGCCACATAAATGTCATGTAGAGGAAGGAGCGTCTCTAACGCATCTCGTTCGGCAGGTGTCGCGACGAAAACGAGCCCATTCGGCAATTTGGTAGGCGCATTTGGGGGGTCATTAAACGACCACGAGGAAGGCCGGAATAGTGCAGCTATAGGGCAGCCATTGCCGCTAAAAACACACAGTAACATTCAAACAGCTTTGAAAATGGGCAACTATATCCATCTAGCCCTAAGCATATCATGCCTTTCCAGAGGCGTTGATGAAGCAAACAGCAAACGCTAGATAATGTGCTGCCATCTGTGAGGCATTGTGAGACCCATTTGCTACCAGACTCTTTTTTTCTTTCTTCTTCTGAACAGTGATGTTGAAAACGTGCGCGTGTGTGCTCGCGTGAAGTATACGTGTGGAGCACGAAGTTTTGGCTGGTGGCGCTGCGAGTGCCTGCCTAGTGGCGAGCGCCCGCCTAATTGCTACAAATATCAATTGCTACTAAACAAATTGAGAAAGTAATCACAGAGCATAATAAAACAGTGTGGACATACACAAACCTAATTAGACTGTCTGAGCTAGAGCTTGCTAAGGCACGTGACAAGTCACACCGGAAAAGAAGACACAAGCCCAGGAGTTGGTGAGATGAGGAAGTTAAGAGAGCCATAGCAAAACGTCAGGAAGCCTCTAGGGAACACAGACATGCTAAGCAGCGGGGTGAACCGACGGATGATGTTGAAAGAAATAGGGACATCTTTCTAAGCTCTAGAAGGGAATCATCCCTCCTGATCAATGAAAAGATTAAAAGAAAGGGTGCTCAGTGGCTGGCAGAAGTACATAAAAAGGACAGAAAGGCAGCTGCGAAATTTTGGAACCATCTAAACTCCCTAAGAAATGAAACAAGCCTAGAGCAAAGGTTTACAACTACATCTCAAGGTGCTAGGCTAGAAGGGGACGAAGCTATTGAATATATAAGAACAAGGGTGACAGAAAAAGTTCAACAAAGAAGTGCCTTATGCACCACAACAGACAAGGATGGATCAAGTGTAGCAATGGCTCCATTTTCACAACGAGAGTGCGAAATGGCTGAAAAGATGGTTCCAAGTAGTACATCAACAGGCCCAGATGACATTCAAATTGTGCTGATAAAGACATTGGGTCCGAAGTCTGAACATACTTTCAGAGAGGCAGTGAGCAGGCCAATAATCGATGGCGAAGTCCCCGATGGATGGAAACTTAGCAGGATGAGCATGATATATAAAGGAAAGGGGGACAAAGATGACGTAAACCACTACCATCCTATAACAGTGACATCAGTGGTCTACAGGCTGGCGATGCAGATTATAAAGGAAAAACTGCAGGCATAGATAGAGGATGAGGGAGTGCTAGTGGAACTGCAGAATGGGTTTCGAAAACACAGGAGGTTGGAAGACAATCTGTTCTCACTGACGCAGTGCATCGAAAAAGCAGTAAAGGAAATCAGGCCCCTGTGGCTAGCATTTTTGGATATCAAGAGAGCGTACGATAGTGTAGTTCAAGAGAACTTGTGGGAAATACTGGACACACTAGGTGTGGAAGATGGAGTCACTAATCTTTTAAAGGAAATCTATAAAATTAACAAGGTAGTTTTAAAGTGGGAAAAACAGGTATCCAAGCCCACAGAGGTGAAATGGGTGCTTAGGCAGGGGTGTCCTCTGTCACCCTTGTTATTCATGATGTACCTACAAGGATTAGAGAAGTGATTGAGAAGTGATTGAGAGAAATGGGGGAGGACCGTTGGGCTAGGAAGGTTTTCAGCTACGTGTACATGAAGAATTTCGATACGAAATGGAGGAAGCGAACCAGAAAATTGACTTGTAAATACTTAGAAGACAGCAGGGGGCCAAACCAAAAGAATTATCGGTTAAGAAGGTTAAGGAAGCTGAGACCGATATATGGAAAATTGGCATGATTAACAAGTCCGCACTAGAGATCTATCGAACTTTTAAGCAGGAAATCGCCAAGGAAAGGATCTATGATAATATCCGGGGTAGTTCTCTACTGTTTGAGGCCAGATCGGGAGTATTGCGAACCAAGACATATCGGGCTAAATACGAAGGGATAGACACGGGATGCAGTACATGTGGAGAGGAGGAGGAAACTGCGGAACACTTGATAATGTTCTGTAAAGGGCTTCACACTATAGTTCATGATGATGGCACAGAGTTTTTCAAAGCACTGGGGTTTAGGGACAGGAAGGCAAAATAGACTTTAAGTGGGTAGAATCAACTAGAAGAAGGTTGTCTGATTGGTGGTTAAAGGCACGAGTGAAAAGTAAACCATTCACTGCAAAGTACCAGTCCTCAACTTTACTATTTAAAGAAAAAAAAGACAAATCTAGTGGTTAGTTCAATAAATATTATGGGTAGGTGGCGTTAGCCGCTACCCGAACTTAAGGGTACAGCCACATCATTCCATCCATCCATCCATCCATCCATCCATCCATCCATCCATCCATCCATCCATCCATCCATCCATCCATCCATCCATCCATCCATCCATCCATCCATCCATCCATCCATCCATCCATCCATCCATCCATCCATAGTGATGTGTGTGTGCGTGTGTATGGGTGCGCGTTAGAGCACACAACATTTTGTCCTGTGGCGCTGCGTGCGCCTGCCCTGTGCCAAAAGGGATTAGGACCACTACTTACTTACTTACTTACTTACTTACTTACTTACTTACTTACTTACTTACTTACTCCCTTACTTACTTACTCCCTTACTTACTTACTTCCCCTTTATGGCCTCTTTGCTGCTGCCTGGATCGCACACCGCCGCGTGCGCCCGATCCAGGCAGCTGTGGCCTCTCAGACGGCAACCGCACGGCGTGTATCTTGGAGGCCATGCGATTCTTGCTTTAGATCAAAAACCTGTATGTACCGTTCGCGCACGCATGTGTATGTCTGTGTGCCATCTGTCAGACATTGTGAAAAACGAGTCTCGACTACAGAAGAGCGCCGTTCTAGCAGAGGGAAGTGGCCACACTGCCCAGTCATTGCATTACTATAGATACGTCACGCTTGCGTGTATAATACAAAATATATTAATAAGCATGCACTTAGTGGTTAAAAAGCGCACTAGGGGCCAGATTTCGCTAACGCTTTCAACTCTTAAAGGCGAAGCTTCAGGGTCCATCAATTTTTAGGCCTGAAATGCATGCACAGTTAGTTTTATCGCTGTATTCGTGTCGAGCGAAGGAAAAAAAACGACTGTTCACGATGGTCCTAGAAGGCGTCACGTCGAACACTCGTCAAACATGGTAGTACGTCCAGAAAAGTGATCCTCTGGAGCGATACGCAGCATAGTGAATTTAAGTGGTCACAAGTTCTCCACCCAGGAGGAATGCACGAATATGCACACTAAGTTTCGAACCATTTGATGAAAGACGCGGAACGTGACGAGCCATTCAAATTGATGTGTACATTTGTATGCACCGTGACTGAAAGCGTTAAAAAACTCTACGTCTGCGTCGGTGGTCAGCCTTTTGCTAACGTGCACGCCTCCGCGACGAGCGCGAGTGTGCGCGGACTCTATGCTAGAGTTTGTCAGCCCCTAAACCACTGTGCCACCAGGGCGGCACATATTGCCTTCGTATCCTGGTGCTGTGGCTCTCGCGTAAAAACCTTGGTATTCCCTCAACGTGTGTCCCCATATTCACGATTTGTTCATGCCTCAGTGCACGCTCAGCGTTTGTCCTTGCTCACACTTGTGTCCGTGCTTGCACAGCTTGCATTTTGTATGATGGACCTGCCCAGGTGGTCAAGTGGCCAAGGTACTCGGTTGTTGACCCGTAGGTTGCGGGTCTGCGACAGCCGCATTTTTGATGGAGGCGAAAATGGTGTAGGCCCGTGTGCTCGGATTTGGGTGCACGTTAAAGAACCCCAGGCGGTCGAAATTTCCGGAGCCCTCCACTACGGCGTCTCTCATAATCATAGGGTGGTTTTGGGACGCTAAACTCCACATATAGATCAATGAAGCCATTCTCGTATGATGGATCCCGTACAATGTAGCGCGAGGAAAACGCGCCAAGCTGGGTCGTGAAAAAGCACACAGACGCAGTGCGAACTGCATTTATTGTCGTTCGAAGAACAATAAACAAGAACACATACTTAGGCAAGTGGGGACACGTGTGCTGAACTGTTAATAACGTGTGGTTAGTATGTTCAAACAAGATTATTACTCAAAGTGTGTATCTGAATATTCGTATGCATTATATCAATCTTCAGAGGCTGTATCTTCAAAGAATGTAGATCCTAGGGCAAAATCATCAAAGCGTATGATTTAAGAGTGCCATGGAGAATTACTTGAACGCTGACACTTTTTGTTGACCAGGCATGCTTTAGAAGTGTGCCCACGAGCCTCCCTGATCTGTCAGAACCCTTGTGGCATGGTCATCGAGCCTCCTTTGACAATGTTGCTCAATAAGGCTAGGGCTTCGGTCTTGGTGAAGATATTCCACGCCAGAGGACCTTCCACAAACTCTTCGGACGTCAGCGCAAAGAAGCGCAGCTCGAGAAAAAACGGCAGCATAATAGCGCGAACGTCGGGCTGTTGATCGTTCTCCTTGACGCGTGACAGCGCGTGATCAAGCGACCGCTTGTACACTGCTGTCACCAGTGATACCTCTGGAACATTAATCGCGTGGCTGAGGATGAAGCTTACGGTGAGCTCGGTAGAAGAGGTGAACTTCGAAGAGCTAATCACCCCGAGAGTGTCCTGAATGATGAATGCGCTGGCGTGGTCAAGCAGGTCTTCTTCGCCTGTGGTGAAAACGTAGTTCAGGAGAGGACACACGTCGTCCAGCTTCATGTGGCCTTTCACGAATGACACGCATCTCTTTCCAGTTTAGGGACGAGATACTTGGCAGCGGCGGTCCGCATGCACAGGGCCTGATGCACGTTAGCCACTTCCAGACGTCCGCTGTAGAAGTACATGCATTGCGAAACAATCAATAAAGCAGTTGGCTTAAACAGTTTCCCTCAACGTGGTGTCATGTCTGTTAAGCTCAGTCTGCTGTGTCATGAAACACCGTCATACATGTTGTAGAACATAAGGCCTTTTCTGAAACAATGCTAGTCTAGCATACTGGGGGGAGGGGGGCAACAAGAATTCAGCACTGGATTTTATTCAAAGTTGATGGCAATAATTACTATTGAAATAAAATAAACCCTTCCAAATGAATAAACTTATTAAATATTATTACATATATAATAATGCTATGTGGTAACATTATACTGTTTCGGGTTGTGTTTGTGCTATACAGGATGTGGATGGTGCCTGGAGAATCGGCCAGCTGTGGCTTTACACCGTTTTCAACAAAACGGAATGCTTCAGCGCATGATTCAAGCTGCAATTAGGGCATACAAAGTTATCCAAAGGTTTTCGAGAATAAGATATGGCGGACTCAATCTTTGCCTGAACACGACAGCGATATTTTGTCCCAACTGTGTACATAAACCACTTAGCGCATACTTCATATTGTTTGATGTTACTCGAGAAGTTTAAATGGTGCATAACTACAATGTAATTGATAAAGTTCAAAGTGGCTTCCGTCGGTGAATGTTTCCCACAAGCCGCTCTCCATGTATTATGGGTAGCATGCTTTGAACCACGGAAAAATGTCTTCGAACTTGCTATGCACCCATTAAGTGGTTGTACGGGAAGACGGGCAGTAATGTGTGTCTCTTTTCTAGGAAGTGGCCTGCCTCAAAACCACGAAGTCGTTATAATCAAATGTTTTGACGCCAGATGGCAATGCACGTGTGTACCACGCATTATTACGTCGGTATTAAAGGTTGCATTGCGGAGCATGTATACAGGACGCCTTTGTAAAGCATAAACGTTTTTCGCACAGCATTTACACGCGGAAAAAATTTATTTTCACTGTATTTCCAAGCAGAAGCGTAGCTATGCGATAGAACACTTGTTTGCAGCGCAAACAGCCAGGTTAGATTCTCACTCGGTTCCAGGAATCTTAATTATTTATTTTTTTGCATCTTTCTCACCTAGTTTTGTCACGCAAAAGATTATTTTTCGCTCGAAACCAACGATGCTGACGCCAACACCGCACTTTCTGTAAAACGAGCTCTTTAGCGCTATCTTGTTGAAAGTTCGAAGGCAACTTGATGGGCTGCCTATATGCAGCACTGGTCAACCAGTTTTTGACACGAACTACAAGCTCAGCGAACACACAGCCTACATTTTTTGGCCCGTGGTGTTACGGACAAGGAGATCAAAATACTGGACAACTACAGTTGTCTGATCGCCAGAAGACTATCGATAGGGACAGTAAGTGATGTGGAACCATGAAATTTAACGTAGGAGGTAGGAAGAAAACTATGTCGGAAGCTAACGTAAGAGGTAGGAAGAAAGCTATCGGGATTACGCGTTGGGAAACTCCATGCTTCTATACGAAAATAAATTTCGTGCATTGACCCCTGGATTTCAGGGAGTTTTTATGTTAAAAGAAATGTGCAGGCGCAAAAGAGTGCACAAATGTTCCCACAAATTAGCTCCCTGTATGATATCGCAAAGAAGAAACGCAGCGGAAAATTTACGGCAAAGAGAATCATAGGGAGGGAGGCTTGCATTGCACCACACTCAACCGAGCGACAATTTGCTGGTAACGTTTGGCACAGGGGAAGATGAAAGAAAGTGAAGGCAAAGCTCAGTGGATACTGAATGAAAGTGATTGACAAAACGCTCGTTCAGATAGATGAGAAATACGGGTTGGGTCCATCATCCTGAGAGAAGGGCGACACAGCATTTACCTCAAGAGGCCTCTGACGCCTTCCGTGTGCAAGTCAGTAACCACTATGCGGTCCTCTTTGGCGAAGTCACCGTAGAACATTGCCTTGAACACTTCATTCTGTAAAGCCAGAATCATCTTGTGGGCCTTGAAGGTTGCCTTTGTGCCCGGGAAGTGGGAACTATCCACCACGATCTCCACGTCGGCAAGGTCACCGGAATCCAGACATTGGGACAAGGAAAACACCTGAAAAGAGGCAAAATTCACACTGTTGACGCCAATTCGTTATAGAGCGATCACAAGTGCGATCGATTGGTTTGGAAAACTGTAAATGACGCACATAGCGCATTTCAATAAAACTTTGAGTTAAGAGATCGTCAAGTAGAATGGAAACTTTTCGACGGCCTTCTGTTGGAGGTGTATGAGCATAAAGTCATTGTATGAACGCATGCAGGGATGGTGAGGAGAAAAAAAAAAACAGTGCTAAGTAACGTATCTCAGCGGCCGGCAGTGGTCGCTATAAAAGGTGCATCACCTATATTATTGCGCAAACGAAGCTTGAAGGCACAAACGGTAGCAAACTACTGTGTGAGAAAAATTAATTTTGCACTTTTTAATAAACTCTAGATATATTCAGAGATGAGAAAAACTGCATTCGTTACCTCGGCACCCGTCGCAGCGTCTGTGATAACTTCCTCGGAATGGAAGGGCGGACACGGGTAGGAGTAACTGCAAATATTTCTTGACATGCTACGAATGTTCCGGTAATCTGGAAAGGAAAACACACAAGAAAAAATGTATTGCAGCCGAATTTTCTTCTTGGAGCCACCAGCCAGGGTCTGGCAAAGCGGGCTCGCCCTTCCCCACCACCAAACTTTTTTTCAGCATAATGTACACACTACGAAATGACACTCGACCACATTTGGCTACCCGAATCCTTCCAGAAATCAAGATGATCCCCCCCCCCTCAAAAAAAAAATTAAAAAAAAATGTCTGCCTGCAACCTTGCCACCCGCTGATTGTCGAATGGTTGTGGTACTCGAGTGCTTAATCGATGGTTGCGTGATTGAACACAGGCCGCGGCGACCGCATTTTTATAGAGGTCATAATCTTCGAGGCATGAGTACTTTGATTAAGACGCGCGTTAACGAACCACAGCTGGTCAAACTTTTCCGACCCCACCAATATAGTGTTCCTCATAACCATATCGGTGTTTTGAAAGGGAGACTAAAGGCAACTATTAAGTCGATGTTGATTGTTGAAATAGCTAGTGGTCCAGAAACCTCGTAGTATTACTTTTGTGCTAAGGAAGGGCCTATCTTGAAATAAAATGACGTTTTAGTGGTTCGTATCAGGTTAGCGCACTTCAAATTACCAACCTCAAGAAGCGGACTGACCGAACCAACTCTCGTCACTGCTGCTGTGGATATCGTTGCCCGGCTTTACTGCGCTAGTAGCAGCATACCGAAAGCAGTGGGAGCCACAGCAGCAACAATGGCCACTGATCAATTTCCCACCACTGGCTCGAAATTTGCAGGCGTTTTTTTTTTTGTTCAACTGGGCCACGCTAGATAGCACCACCTGTCCATTGTAACTACGCGAAAATTGGATTTTTGAACCACTCACGCCATTCCCCATAATCACGTCCAGCGGTTTTTATTTTCATGAATCAAACAGAAACTGACATGGAGCATTTTATTGCGTCTCTTGATGCCCGGAAGATTCTTTATTTAGTGCAGCTAGGCCGATTACTTGTGAAGAATTGTAGGCGGTCCGTCTGATGTCATCGAGATCATTCTGAAAATGCCTATACTGTGGCGCATGCTTTCTTGTGCATTTATTTTATTTTATTGGTAACTAGGGCATTGGTATTGATAATATTGTCATTTTAGATGTTGTCATACATTGAGCTTTCACTCTGACGTAAATTGTTATTTGATTTTAGCGTCCTCTTAAAACGGAGCTGTTATTATAATGTTTTAAGATCTTTGTAATAAAGTTACAATGCACAAACAAGGACGCTGGCATGTGAGCAGAGGTCGCTATATTTATGTCGATGGATATTGGCTCATATGTCCAGGCTGGTGCAGGCCATGTTGGTTGATGTAGCTCTAAGTAACCGGCAGAGCAACGTGGCTTCAAAGAAATGTATTTGATCCCTCCGGTATAGGAATCGGTATAACACTAATACACGGAAGTGAAACGTGTCTTCACCGAAGCAGTTCACCGTTTATTACTCATTGGTATATAACGTCTATTGGTGTTTAGTGACTACAAAACCCTTATATGTTGAAGCCCCCATGCTGATACCTGGTGACACTTCTACGCCATGACAATCAACAACTCGAGACCTTCATACACTTTCAGAAGACACTGCCCGCACCGGAGAAACGCCTGAATCGCATTGAACCACAGCGTTCGCAAACCGTGCAAACGGAACCGAACGAGTTCTCACTCAATCGTTTATCAACTTGCGGTAGGCTGCAGTGACGGAGAGTGGTTTGCAGGTCTTCGACCGTGGCTATGTGCATGACATGTACCGTCGAGTTGGCGAGCATCGTCCTGGTCGGTTCGGTGAAGATACAATCATTGCGGTCCTGCATCGGTTTCTGTATGGGATCCAGTTGGGTCGCAATGCGTTCAACTTCACAAGCGTGAGAGACCGGGTTCTCAGCTTGCGCCGTGAATGCGCGAAGGCCTCCTGCTCCCCCCCCCCCCCCCGGCGTGTCCATCACTTTACGGAACTCACTTGCGTGACATTCGCCCGTCAACGCCGTTGTGATTCAGGGGCGCTTAATGCAACAGTCCTTGTAGTCGCTACCATCGCACTCGTGCCACTAGGTGGCGGAGATGCACCATTGTTGCATATCGAAGCTGCACTACACTGCACACGCAAGAACAACGCGAAAGAGGAAGCACGTAACTGCGTTGTCACTCAAGTCAGCGCTTAGAGCGCGTTGCAATACAGTCTGCATTTGTGGTCAGCGACATCAGCCCCAGAAGTCGGGTCGGAACTGATTGCTGAGGCAATGTTACAACATCTAGGCGGCGTTGGTAGGCTCTGATCCAACTGAATCCGTTGGAATGCTGGCATCGAGACGCCAAAGATCTGGGAACCACAGTGCTGTCTATCGGCGTTAGTTGGTGTCATAATGCCGTACCTCGACAAACCAAGAGCACGGGTATACAAAGCGAAAAAATGTGAGACATATAAGGTGCGGCTGAAGAGTGCCTTGGAAATGTGTCGATAACTCAGTCGGCTGAGCGTGCGCTACCTATTTTGATTATTTGAGAAGTCGTGTGTTCGATTATTGCACTCTAAATCAAAATTACCCGAAAAAGGAGTAACGGAGCCCAATAGGCGCGTGCGATGAACGCATAGACCGTTGAGGAGCAACCACAGAGGGAAGCGTGCCAAGCGAAACCATATAGTCTCCAAACACGCTCCACTAGGGATGAACCGCCCGGGGATTGCAGGCAGCGCGAAAAGTGTTGCCAAGGTGACCAGCCCTCCTTCTCCACAGAACACATGTCCGTCTCCTCCTCTTCTGGCTCAGTCTTTCCCCGTATTTTGCCGGTGACGGTTCGCGTTGCGTCGCACTCGGAGTGCTCGACCACGGCCGCCTGGATTCGACGATCTAAGAATTACGACGTGGTGCTTGTGTGTACGCTTGGATGAGCGTGGGCTGTTGCTTTAGCGTTTCGCTGCACCCATGAAGTCTGAAGCAAGCCTCGACAGGTCACCACGCCGCGCTGTATATGTCTGGCTTCAAGATAGTCGCGACCAACACACGACAGCAACAGTTGGGAAGGCCAATATAGCAGCCGAGAAGAACAGGTCTGTCGGATATATACTTCAGTCCGACTAAGGCCAGGAAACGGCGCTGGATTCTAAGGCAAGTAGGTTATCATTCTTTATTCTACTCTACTTGTCACGTGTGCGATACGGATCGCGCTTGCCGGCAACGCGCTCGGTCATGTTGTATATCGCAAGCACGAAATACATCGCAAAGGTCAACTTCGACGTCTGCAGTTAGCCTGTGCTTTGCGACCACCTGAAATTTGGCCGCCATTGCCGTCGGCCTCCCGTACGCTCGCTCATCGACTGCTCGCCTGTCTTCGCCACCGCGATGAACTTCGGGCTGGCGATATTGGGCTGAGACGTCGTCGCTGTGTTGGGAGTCGTCGAAAACACGTTGCGGGTTCTCGTAACGAGCTTGGTTGTAGTATGTCGCGTGCTGTAAGTGCACCAGCACGGGCTGGCGGGGCTACGTCGGAACTCACTGAAAATTGGTCACCATTACAATTGGCTTTCCCGCCAGTCGGTCGCAAGCAGCTCGGCGCCGTCCGCTGGCCGTGGCGGCGGACTCGCATTTGCGCGCTGCACTCGCTCGAGTTTGTGGAAAAGGGGCGCATTACCGTCGATTTCTCCGGCGCTAGCTCCAAACCAGCTCGGCGCTGTTCGTGGCGGCGGCCAAGCGTACGCTCACTCTCCCGTTCGAAGTTCGCTGGCGGCAGACACTCCACGTGCAGCGCCGTGTTTGGTCTCGCGTTCACTTGCTCGAGCTGAACGACGTCGCTCGCTTAGGACTCGCCGACTTGTTCGCGGCACGGTGGTTCGCGGAGTTGTGACTGCAGCCGCCGCTGCTAAGCTGTTGCGCTATCGGGATCGAAATGAGTCTTTGACGATGTGTGACATCACGGTGAAATTATTAGCATGTCATATCTCACGTCTGTTTTCATTTCACCTTGCACGTATTTCTCATATGCATTTGTATTCATCCCCTGTCACGTGTGACTCACTATTTTACATACTTATTGTGCAGCCGTGGGCACACACCGTGCTGAAGACTGGGGGCGCTGGCGTCTGCGATGCCTGTCATTCATCTCTTTCGTGAGATCAGCTTCAGAAGGACTGTGCGAGATAAAGAAGGACTGTGTGAGAGAAACAAAAAAACGTTATGAGCAGGGGGCTTTTGTTTTGTTTGTAATTTACTTCCTTAAGCACCCCTCTTTAGGTGACATAAGAAGTTGTAGTTAGACACTAGAGGTTTTTGCATGCCCAATGAAAAGAGTTCTACCACGGTGATTTTCCAAATTGGTTCGCTACGAGCCGTAAAACCATGATGTGAAGTGGCAAGCTTGAATCTCTTGCTTCTATCTCCATGTAGTCAAAGGGAGCCGTGCTTTTTTCGGCATCGTGGCTGGAAGTTCACATGATGCATAGGTACCAAGAACATCGTGCGTAAGCAAGGTCACGCGCGCATGACGTGTCCCAGCCTAGTCGAGCACATATGCCATCGATGATGAGTCAGATGATTGTATTACACGTATCTGCGCCATGGATTAGTCACTGCACATACTTTTGCAGAGGCTGGCATGGATCATGTATCGTGAATATAATACACGACGTCGCTCCGCTGAAATAAGCGCGAAAAGTCACGCGACAGCGACGAGCGATGCTGTGAGCGACGAAACAGGGCGTTCGCGCGACGTGTCGCGTGCTCGTTTTTGCGCGATCGCTCGGTTCTCCAGATTCGGAAACCGTCGTCCATCGCCCGGAAGTGCTGTGCTCAAAGCACCGAAACAGGATGTACGTACATGAATGACGTACTGCTGGTTCTCCTCATGGAGGAAGGAAAAAAACTTCCTCCATGAAAGTTTTCCTTTTTCCATGGTTCTCCTCATGGCCGCGATATCGCCACCTCCTCTCACTCACCTCTCCGCCCAAGGCACACTCACGCGTGCACAACGAAGAAATAACGTAATGTCTATGCACGTGCACATAAAAAAAGTGCTGCAAGGCAATAAATAAACACTTTCCGTTCCATTACGCAACAATATATCTTATTTTGAAATTGCATACCGCTCACTACGCGGTTTTCTTGGTACGAGTAGACGGCCTCATGCAAGCAACAGTGGAGTTCGCTTGCCGAAGCCATCGCGTGAATGAGGTTTGCCTGCGCTAGCGACTGTTCGCGCGAAGGCAATCCACGTCGCGTCGCTCGTCGCTGTCGCGAGCGTTTTCGCGGTTATGAGGTTTGGCCTTCAGAGACGACGCACGAAACACAAGCTAAGCATTGTCAGGGTTGGCGAAGGCACGATGCAGCAACGAGAGAAGAGGAACGCAAGCGAAATGGGGTGGTGGTAGTAGTAGTAGTAGTAGTGGTAGTGGTAGTGGTAGCAGCAGTAGTTTTACGTGAAAAGAACCACGATATGATTATGAGGGACGCCATTGTGGAGGTCTCCGGAAATTCGGCCATCTGGAGCCCTTTAACGTGAACTGCACGTACGCGGGCATCTACCTTTTGGCCTCCGTCCATATAGATGCGACCGCCGCGACCAGAATCGAACCAACGGTATTCGGCTCAGCAGCGAAGCACCCTAGCCACTGGTTCAGCGAGGCGGACGCGAAAAGAAGGCTGATCAAAGTGTATAGCATCTCACGGCCATTTAAAACAAAAATAAAACAAGTCGGCATTACGTTCACGTGTTTTACTTTTCCCAGCTTTCATTCATTATACTCATATTGACAGGGCAGCGCAAGGACACATGGAAAAGAAAGACAGAAAGACATATAGACAAAGAGTCTTTCTGTTTGACTTTGTCTTTGCGTTTCCCTTTCAAAATGATATGAAGCAGCTAGCCCAAACCAAAGTACTCCTCAGTCATGCTACCCAACAGAACACACAATGTACACATGCCGACTAGAATAATGTCACATGCAACTATCTTAATGAGCTACCGTTTTGAATGCAGGATACAATCATGAGACGGGATATTTTTCACCTGTTTTTCTAGACATAGCTAGCATTTAACCATGTTCTGATGAAGAGTGTACGGTGAGCGACGTCAGTGCACCTATGTCAACGCAAAGGAGTGATGTAAATGCAGTAATGTTTCTTGATATACGTCACTCCATCCATATATATCTTGGGGCGCGCGCCCGCGAGAGGGGCAAGTGGCATTTAGTAGAAATTGCGAGTTTTTCCCGGATGCGTAGCGTTGCAAATCTTTACAGGCGTGATCCTTATCCCAGTGCATCCATTACGCTTGTCAGCTCGAAATGCCCAAACCCAGCCAGGGGCCCTCCAAGGTGTTCACCGACAGGGGACCGATTGATCCTACGTGATTAGATCTGGCATCCCCCCCCCCCCTTCTGACGTATCAGCGGTTTGTTGTGGTTATCTGCTCAAGCGCTGCCCTTATCAGCCGCGACGAAACGAAACAAACCCAGGAAAGTGTTGATTGGGCGGTGGTCACTTGGCTCACAATGATAAACAGTAAAATGAAAAACCGTAAGCTTCGAATCGCTCGCGGCAAAATGTTCAATAATTGGTGCATTTGTGCTGCTTGTTTCGCCGGTGTTTGTGGCGTCGCAGTAGCCGCATCTTCTAAACGACTCCGCTTTGATCGTATGCAGGGGTGGGGTGTGTGGGTTTGGTGAACAATACACAGACATTTCGCCATACGTTTATGCAAGCTTTGTTATATTTGGTTTCGTAAATTCGGAGAACACATATTTATTCACAATGTACGCAGGGTGAGGCAACATGTCAAATTACATTAAAACATTCAGAAATTTCGCTCAAGAAAAAAAAATACGTTGAATCATTGGGACGGGACATAGCAACTTGCCACTCGCGAGCGGAAGTCGTACTTGTGACAGAATTTTCACCAATTCTCATCGATTGCTGCCTGAAGTTCAGAGTACGGCGCCAAAACAAGCGGAAGCTAGGAGATTAGCAGGAACATACATGAAAATCAGTGCAGTCACTAACTTGCGGCATATTTTTTTATGAATGATTTGGTTATACAGGCAGTCCACACTAATACCGGCGTCACACTGGCACTTTTATTCACGATAAGAGCGATCCGAATGGGTTGTATTGATCGCGATCAACTTTATGACCACTGCTACACGGCCCAAGCTAATCCGGTTCGAGCTTGGGTCAGATGAAATGCCCCAGGCGGCATTTGCGTGCCGTAAAATATGCCACTGATAAAACCTGACGTAGAATATACGCAATGTCTATTTGCCGGCAACCGGGATAATTGTTCAAAGTAATTTCTCCCGGCAGTCACCTCCCATTGGCTCTCATATGTCACGTGACTAACTTCCATGTAGATAAGAGATGCGGGATAGACTGGGCATACGTAGCCTAGCGTGCGTTAGATTAGGTTTAGGTTAGGGTGAGAGACATGGTGTTTTTCACTGGGAGATTCAGAGCGACCGCCGAAATCCCGGAGCGAGCACTCGGATCGCACGAAGCCACCTCTGCCAGTGAAACACGAGAATGCTCCGTGAGAGGTGCCCCGGAAGTTGATTATGCATACGTCACGCAAACCGGTTCCGGAAACAGTTTATTTTTCCGCTCTCTTCGTTTCCTTGGCAACTTTGGCCGCCACTGCAGGGCGCGCATTTCGACCACGCAGTTAAAGCTTTGTAGAACACTTTAACGCAGTCGCGAACAGCAGTTGTGTAGCAAGTATGGACGAGCACGCGGAATTGACACCGGCTGTGCGTCGGCTGTTGCTGGGCGTTTTCAGAAACAGCGGCAACGATCTGAACGGTAAGTGCGACGTACTTGACGCTGATAATAAACTCTGCACGGAATGCTAACTTTGATAGCTCCGCATGAAGACTGGTCAGATAATTGTAAAGCATGCGGGTACACGTGGTAACGGCCGCAATCGGCGCTCGCAAAAATACGGCATGTTGTGAGCAGGCTTTTTTTTTTAATCAGAGCAGTTGCTTATCCAACACCTTACAGTCCTACTATTTAGAATATCACAAGCGCCGGAATTTTCGCAGCGCTCACCAAGCTGCTGTATTACCTTTAATAAAAATGCATGGCGATCTCTGTATTCGCGCATGAATACATGCATGAAAAATTTACTAGAGAAGTAACGTTTTCTTGGTGATTCTTGACCTCTACTCTTTTGGTGTTAACCCGCAAATGTCTTTTCTTTTTCTCTATTTGAAGGTGCTACACAGTGTGACGCCACCGACGCTTTGTCACATACACAGGGCGCATTTTTAGGAAATGGTAAATTGGTCTACATGTGTCTCTGTAGAACTAGTTTTGTATACAGTCGTCTATATATGTAGCACTCAAGCCTGCTCCAGGCGCTCCTGCCAGTTACTTTAAAGATCTCTTCATTCGACCACGAAGTGCACGTACGTTGCGACGCATTCGAAAGGCTTGCGACACTCATAATCAGTTTGCTTTTAGGTGATCCAACAGTTCGACAGAGCTCCGACAGAATTGAGCGCGTAAAGCAACAGACGACTGCTTGCCTTCTGCTTGCCGTCGGCTCTCCCGTAACTATCCATGCGGTCGTTACGAATCCTAAAATATGCAATACTTTAGAGATTGTGTCAATTTAAACAGTTGAAAATTTAGTTTTTTTTATTAAAATACTAGTTGTTTTAAAGCGTCTTTATAGAGCTATGCTCGATTTTCTTGATTATTGGCTTCCAACAAGCTAAGCTAGGGGGTGCAGACGGCAGCGAAATCGCGATCTCTCGGTAGATCGTGATGCGCGGATCACGATAGTCTTGATCCCGATCACGCCTGATCGTGATTAAAAGTGAGCGTGTAGCAGCATCTAATCTCGATCGTGGTTAATCCGGATCCACACTGATCGCGATTAAAAGTGCCCGTCTGACACCAGTATATAACAAGATATTTCAAATGATCTGCACTCAGAAAAGGACATTTCACGCAAGAAGCCGGCTCAGGGGTCTTCACCGTAGGGATCGCGTAAGCCGGGCTCAGTTTCTTGCGAAAAAAAAAATTAGTGACTGCGAACTGCGTTCTGCGTTATTTACGTCAAAAAATATTCTAACAGTAACTAACATGTTTGGCTACGAAAGTACGCACAGAAATGCCCTGCTGTGCTTCAACAAGATGTTTTGTTTAGCACCGACAGTGAATACAAAAGTTTCCGTAAATCCTCGCGGCGCTCTCGAAATGCTAGGCCTTGCGCTGGGGTTTCCTAATTTGGTATTTAATAATAAACTAAAGACCTGTGCCACTATTTTGCAATCATTCCACGACTGCCGAATAATACGTGTACGAAAAGCAGTGTGCCGCGTTGAGGTTACGTTGGGGTCGTACAACTCTATCGACAAACAGTAGAAGAGAGCAATCATCGTTGGCAACTTACCAATCAATGCGTAGGCAGCCCTTTTAAATTGAGCAGTAAAACAAAAGCGGCGTCCTGTAGAGGGGTTGGAGGAGACCACGGAGATCGAACGATGACGCAAGCACGATAGCCAAAATCACGCCAAAACAGCCACCACCGTATATAGTGATCCAAGAGAGTTTGGCAAGTGGGCTCACAATGCAGCATGGCCACGTGGTGCCCTCCTTCGAGAAAGTCACCCGTGTGCCTTTCACCGTGATCGCACCAAATGAGTGACCCAGTCCACTGCTTGTATCATACGTCTTTGTACGGATCCGGTAGGGGGCCGTGGTTATTCCGGTGCACACCGGGAGGGCAAAATAGACTTTAAGCGGGTAGACTTAACTAGAAGGAGGTTATCTGATTGGTGGCTAAAGTCAAGGCACGAGTGAAAATTAAACTCTTCACTGCAAAGTACGAATCCTCAAACTCACTTTTTAAAGAAAAAAAACAAATCTAGTTTTTGGTTCAATAAGTATACGGCTTGGTGGCGCTAG